ATTGTTGTTTTAAACCTAAAGTTGAGTTCAAACATAATGAAGCATATAAACCCCTCCCACCAAGGTGTTCGAGGGGAGTTACGATCATGGTACACAATCAATTCCATCTTTGCACCTGAAGAGCGACAGCTGCACTGTTTTTTACTTTGTCTGTATTCTATCCTACTGTAATCTCAGAGCAAGCTGGTGCAAGAATTTCCTTCGGGATTAATTAAGTCTCCTTTTACCTTATCTTAAATAACATCAATAACTCTTAGCAGTTTAATCAAGGCAACTAAGAAAAACGCAAACAAACGCAAGATGACCAGATGAAGAAGTGCTTCAGTGGTAACGAAGGACAAGCAATGAATAAACAGCTGCATCACAACAGAGATCAATAATCAATAAAAATACTGAACAAAGTGTGAGTGAATAACATCAAATAATATATTAATAGATCAATGAAGCGCATCAGAATAAATTAATATCATCAACTGTGAAAACAAAGATTTTATCAATCATAGAAGTTGATTCATTTATTTTGCAGCGATTGAATTTAAATAATTTGTATTTAACAAGTGAAAATAGCGAAAAAAATTCTAATGATTTATTTACGACACAATGGTGTTTTTAAAATTGATCGATCGGTGACGATCAAACTGTGGCTCTGTATTTGTTGAAGATATTTTCATTCCAATCATCAACATATAGAAACGGAGAAGAAAGAAAAATCAAGTGAACAACAAAAAACAGAATTTATTTCTTCCAGATGTTTCCTCTGTACATGACAGAAAGTATTTACACTGAGAGCCCTGCAGGGGGCGTATGTACAAACAGAGGTATGACAGCAAACAGTATCAATAGATAAATTATCTAATAAATACAGACCACCACAAAAAACAGCGGAGGAGAAACCACTGCCCTTGAGCAAGGCACTAATGTGTTTTCACTAAAACATAACATTGGTCAGAAAATGTTAATATGATCCGACTGCAGCTAACGAGCTAACGTCAGCATGCTTAGACTTACCAACATGTTTAGAACCTGAAACTAAATGAAACTTCTGCTTGGTACTGATTGGTCTTATTGTAGATACAAAGCAACATTAGCATACGGGACAAAAAACAGATCATATCTTGATCCATGATGATGTCACATGGTCACATGAACACAACAACATGTGGAGACTGACTCTGTCCTCACGATGCAAGAAAATGGATCTTCTGTGAGGACGATAACAAACCAGATCAAATCCTGACGTGAGCTCATCTTTGCACATCAAAACACAAACTGACACGCGTGTAAAACTCAGCACGGACAGATATGAGATTCCTCTTGCATGTGTGTGACGACTCTCTGGAACGTTTTTTACAGTGTATGGACTCATGTCACACTTTGATGTGTCTCCACCCACACTGTCCATGGCTCTGATGCAGCCCTTCAGACGACCTCACCCTTCACATCCTGGATGCTGATTGGTCATTGGGTGAGATAACAAGGCACTTGCGAATCATCTGATTGATGTTTCATTCTCACGTGTGAGGGTGTGCTCAGTTTTTGTTTTTTTAAGACGAAGTGTTCGTCACAGACAAAATCCCTCCTGGTCACGGACCAACCATTCAATTCATGAACCTGGTTCTGGTCTTGAAGTCAAGTGGACCAGGTGAGATCAGGTGAGATCTGGTAGATCAGGTGGGTTTAGGTGATAGCAGCAGAGGTAGGAATGGAGCATTGATCCCTGAAAAAACATGAGTCAGATTAAGAAGCAAGACCAGATCTGTGTGTGTGTGTGTGTGTGTGTGTGTGAGTGTGTGTGTTTGTGTGTGTGTGTGAGACCTCTGACCTGGTCAGGTTGGTCAGGCTTCGCTGGCGCTGCTGTTCCTGTTCAGTTCTCTGATGCCCTGAAGGATCCTCTTCATGTGACCCACCTTCGTCACACCAAGGTCCTAACACACACACACACAAATACACAAACTTAGTTCAACTTCAGGAACGTCTCGAGAACATCAAGGCCTGGATGAGCCAGAACTTCTTACTTCTAATTCAGACTGAGGTCGTTGTMATTGACCCTCAACATCTCAGAGAATCACTGTCTGAACAGAGTCACCTTGGTGTCAGTTTGTCCTCCAGCTCCACTGTGAGGAACCTTGAGTTCTGTTGGACCAGGACATTTGACCAACACATAGAACAAGTCTCTAGGACAGCTTTCTTCCACCTGCACAATATTAAGAACATTAGAGACATCTTGTCTCAGAAGGACGCTGAGAAACTCGTCCATTTGTTCTCTAGACTAGATTAACTCTTTATCATCAGGACGTCACAGGAAGTCTGAGAAAAGTCTCCAGTTGGTCAAAGTGCTGCAGCAGAGTGCTGACAGGAAGTAGACGGAGACATCTTATTACTCCTGTCTTCTCTACATCGGCTCCCTGTAAAATCCAGAATATCAAGATCCTGCTCCTCACATTTAAAACCTTAACAATCAAACCTTCATACGTCAAAGAGCTGATAACACCATGTCATCCAGAAAGATCAGTTCACTACCAAAACACAGGTTCTCCTGTGGTTCTAGAGTCTGTAAGAGGAGAACAGGAGGTAGAACCT